CTACTGGTTTGGGGACGGGAGATTAGGGAGATTTTGGTCAAAAAGTACAAAATTTCTGTTAGGAGGAGTAAGTTAGAGGGATCCACTATATAGGATGATGATTACAGTAATAAAATGTATTCTTAAAAATTGCTGAGAGATTTTAAATATTCTCACTATAAACAATGATGAGTATATAAGAAAATGGACATGTTAATATAAACTTGACTTAGCCATTCTACAATGCATCCTTATACAAAACATCATGGTGTACACTCTAAATATATGTAATTTATTCATTTAATATAATTTTGGAAAGCTGGTGTCAAAAATTGAAGCAATTCTTGACATTTAACAAATCTTCAATGTCAACAATTTCTGTCTCAAGAAAGAACTTCATTGTAGCAATAATTATGGTAGTCAATAAAAATTAAGCACCACCTAAATGTTTATTATGAAAGAATGGTTATATAAATTCTAGTATATCTATTTTGGCACATGATTGTTGATCAATGGGTATTTGTTGACAGAATGCTTAAATTCTGGTTAATGTTGGTAATATTGGTGTTATAGCATAATTTTCCACAAAGAATCATTATGCTGGATGATTCTAGAACACTGGCTTGTCTTGGTTTTAGAGGCCCTTGCTCCTCTGAGGTGGGTGGCCTTCCTGCTTGCCCAGGAGGCCAGGCTGCAGGAGAGGTCTGGCAGAAATCTGACTCCTGAGTGTGTGGACTTGCCTGACCTCAGAGTGTTACCATTCATTACCGTACCCGGGCCACAACTTGACTTTTCAAACCCACACACAATAGCCTAGTGTTCCCAATCTTCTGCAGAGGATCACTGTTGCCCAGTTAACACTGAAGATTGTCCCAGTTCCTCTCAGCTGATTTGTTTTTGATTTGTTCCCATTAGTCACACACAACAGTAGAGTGCATTTTGACACATTGTACACAAATGGAGCACAACTTCTCATTCATTCCTCTGGCTGAACATGGTGCAGAGTCACACTAGTTGTGTAATCATACATGTAGATAGGATAATAAAGTCCACTTCATTCCACCATTCTTCCCACCTACACTCTATTCATCTATCACTGCCGCTGACTCTGAGTCACAATATCTGCTACATTGAAATAGTAGCTACATGTGCACACTTTGGCATATACGTTCTTATGCATGTTTCATTAAAATAGAGAGTCTGATTTATTTCTTATATTAAAAATTTCTGGCTCATCAAGGGCTTGTGTTTGTTTCCCAGAATTATCTAATTGACTGATTTCATGTTCTGAGAAAGTAAGAAGCCAGAATTCTTAAGGATGGCTAAACACACTCTAGGGAATAAAATTAGATCTTTGTGCAATTTCACATCTCTTTTTCTATCTCTGGCAATAGCAACGGTTATCAAAGTGTGGTTCAGGAACCAACCGTTAGGGCTTTCCAAAATCCTTTCAATGAGTCCCTGCCTTCAAAAAGATTTTCATGATGATTCAAAGAGGTTCTTTTTAAAATTTTATTTTCATTCTATCACAATGGTAGAGTCGTGTTTTCTGAAAGCTATATGATCACAATATACATAGAACAGGTAGAATTCCTGTGTTCTACTCAGCCAGACAAAATTACGTTAGTATCTGATGAGGTTATTTTATTTTTAAGTTTATAATAAGTAAATATATTAATACATATCCCTTTAAACTTCCAACATACAAAAATATCATGTGACAACATCTTAGGTGTGCACGGTAATTTCAAGAGCTTACAGAGAACCAGAGGCCAAAATGTTTGAGAAACACAGGTCTGTAGGGACAATATTTCAGCTGTTCTATAAGAACGTGGTGGCAGACCATTTGGTTTTAAGAGCCAGGGGTTGCCATCCACGTTCTCTGAGTCCAGCTTCTTGCACTTTGTTGGTTCACCCACAGGCTGGCAGTGGAAGTGCCCACCTTAGCAGCTTTCCTCATGCAGACTGCAGTTCTTGATTGACAACGGCCTCCTACTGTCTCAGGAGGGTGGGTAGACTGGGAGGTTATGATTTATACTCCATCATATATTTCTGTCGTTCTGCTTGTGAATCTTTTTCTCAAGTGAAGCAACTGCAGTCTTATTGTTTAACTGTTTATCTCTACTTGGGGTCCAGAAAGATCAGTCAAAGGCATGATTGCTTTTATGAATATTGAAAAACTCTACATATACCACCACTTTACACAAACACACACACACACACACACACACACACACACACTTACATCTCAATGATGACTCTTTTCAGTTCTTATTTTTTAAAATGAAAAAAATTATTCATTTCATATAAGCAAGATGTATTTTCATTTTCAATCATTTGTGAGATAAGAAAATGATAATTTTTTAAAAAACACATTCCTACAACCAAAGGTAATTAGTATAAAATCTTTATCCATTTCTTTATAAACACATTTAATGGTTTTAATTTTATAAAACAGGCAATATATCCTCACAGTAAAAAAAAAAAATCTTAAAACCCTTTAATTGCTTTGTAATATATCATTTCATGAGGGTGTAAGTAGTTATGCAATGGTTTTCTTCCTATACACATTTTTGTTGCTTCTATTTGTTTTCCCATTATGAATTATGTTGTGCTAAAAATCCTTGTACCTAACCTTTCTTCATAACAGTGGTTTCCTTAATATACACTCTTATGAATTAAAATGTTATTCCAGAAAGTGAAAAAAATGTTAAAAGTTCTTCCATTTTCAGCCAAGTAGGTTTCCAGGAAAGTTATACCAACCCATACTTCACCAGCAGCATATGAGGAAACTCATCTCACTAGACCACCTCAGAATTAAGCAGTTTGATTTAAAAAATCCAATCTGATTGGGAAATGATGTATTTTATTGTTGTTTAATATTATATTCTTTGGTTACTAGTGTGATTGAACATTTTCTCCAATGACCTACCTATGCAGGTTTTTCATCTGCTTTATATATTTGTGAATCATTCTGCTTATAAATTTTAAGCCTACTTTTCACCTAAATTATTTTTCATGTTCGTCACATTATTTTTTTGAATATGTGTTTTAATTGCTGCATGAAATGTCATTAACTAGATATCCTACTTTTAATTAATCATTTTCAAATCAGTGTACATTTAGCTCTAATTTCTCTGTTTTGCCTTTCCAGTCTGGAGTAGATTTTTAGAGCTTTTGTAACAAAGTATCACACACTAGGTGGCCTAAACAACAAAAAAAAAAACATATTTTTTAAAAGATTTTAGAGGTTGAAAGTTCAAACTCAAGGTGGGTCTTTTCATATCACCTTCTTTCTGTGTATCTTTATGCTCAAATTTATGCTTATCGTAACCACACAGTCAGATTAGGAACCATCCTAATTATCTCTTTTTAACTTTCTTTCCTCTGGAAAGGCTCTATCTCCAAATAAAGTCACACTCTGAGGAACTATGGGTTCAGACTTCAAGATCCAAATTTTGGAGGGACACGATTCAATTCATAACATCATCTTTGAATTTGAGCTTTTTCTACATCGATGCTTATTTTCCTAGATTAAATTCTGAATAGAGATAATAGGTCTAAATTTTTGAGATTTTTTTTTGCATACTGTCAAAGCAATAGCTTGAATTACTGCAAAAGAAAAATAACCTTTCATTTACAATTAGAGAGGGGACTTTATAAGAAACACTTTTAGTCTCCAAGCAAGAATAGAATCTGTATGCAAAGGGAAAGTGAAAAGAAATCCCTTTTCTGGGTTCATATTTCACTGGATGAAGGGAGGAACGGAAGGCTCTGGTTTGTGGAGGGTTTGTGAGAGCCTTGAGATGGTGGGCAAGGAGACGGAACTGCCTGGCCCCCAAGTCTGCTCAGAGTAGCTCCTGATAGATGATGGCTTGTCCTGAGAGCCCCAGGAAGACAGAATTTTCCTCAAAGATTGGAAAAGTGGACCTTTGTAGGATTTGACAATGAAACAGAGCACTCCAATAAAGCATCCTTTCCCCATCCTTTCCCTGAGAGAGATTCCTCTAATATCTGCTTCACCCTAAGGTCTGTCCTCTGTCCCATTCTGTTCATATCCATTTTTTTCCAGTGGACAGAATCTAATTAAGAAGCAATTTAGAATAATTAGAAGCCAGTAATGAATAAAAGGTAATGAGACATTTGATCTGCCAGTAATTTAACAAGAGCTGTGCCTTTGCTAATTAGGAAGTTTAGCACCTGCTGGAACGCGAAGCTGACCTGCAGGGTACCACTCTCTGTGGCATAGAATAGGGCAGTGCAGTGGGAGTGGGAGTAGAACACATTGGCCAAGTGTGGGTCAGGTGAACCCACTCCTTTCAGCCGCCCAAGACACTGAGGCCGCAGGGGCAGAGGAAAGGTACAGACACAGGTTGGTGGCTACAGGTCATTCAGCCCTGAGAACTAGGCACTGTGTCAGTGGCTTCCAATTGAAGATCCCGTTTAATCCTTACACTTCTATGTAAGGTACATGTTGTTACTCCATGTTTAAAAATGAAGAAACTATGGCTTATGGAGGGAACTGAGAATGTAAAGGGAAGAACTATTATTACCAGTCCAAGCCCCTCTGATTTCAAAACCTGATTCTCTCCTCTCTCCATCACCTCCTTGGAGTTTTGAGACAATTAGTGAATTGCTAATGGCGAATTTCTGCCACTAAATTCTGTTTCCTTCTTAATGAATGTTAGCTTAATTGAGATGTATAGTTCTTTCTTCCTACTACTTCAGTTGTTCTGATAAATCAGTTGTGAGGGTACTGGTGGGATTTTCTCTGTTATTGAGGACAAAAGCAGGAATAAGATTAGTCCAATTTTAATGAACCTCTCTAGAAGAAACCTTCCTCAGCCCACCAGGATAAAATGCCTTTGGTTAAAACAATGGTAACTAGACTTGTTATTATATCTCCCCAAGTCAAGGTCTTAGAAATCATTACTTGACCTCTATAAGAGAAAATATCTGGATAAACTGAAAACCATCCACTTTTCTTGGGCTCATCAGAGAACTCAGATCACAGGGTAAACCTCCACCCAGAGATCTCCAGGGTTAAACATATCAGGAAAAGGGACAGCATCTTAGACTTACTCACCTGGACCAGAAGTCCTTAGAGCCATAAGTTCATAGAGACACTTACCTAACTAGTAATTATTGACAAACTCCTGGAAGCCAAGTACAGATCAACATGAGGGTGAGAAAATCCTGGGGGTCCCTGCTCCGCTATCATGAGTCAGGGGACTTTGTCTCAGGTTGAGCACCCCGCCACCCCCCCCCAGGACCGCCCTCAGATTCTTATGGTGAGACTCTCAGGACAATGTCCTCATGGCCCTGGCAGAGGAATAATGGCCACTGTGTAACACTCTCAAGGCCTTCTGCTTACCAGAAGTCTCCACGTAAGGCAAAGAACTCCCACAACACTGAGGTCTTTTCCCAGCAGGGGCATGAGAAGATTCTGCCACCATCTCCTCTAGGTTTTCTGTATTCTGTAAAGAAAAATATTTAAAAATATAATCAATAAGGAGAAAGAATTCAAGGACATAGACCAGAAATGGGAGAACCAAGACACTGGTGAAGGCCACACCAATGAAAAAACAGACCTACCCAAAGACAGTGACCTCAGTGAAGGTGACAGCTTATGTTCCTGCCTATTTCACCTTTTATCACCACATAAACAACTTTCCAACATAAGCATGCCCTGCTTAATCATGGGAATGCCTCTGAGAAGTGTTTCGGTAAGTAATGTTATGGTTGTGCAGACATCATAGCCGTACTCACACAAACTAAGATGGCCATGTCACCAGGCAATACAATCTTATAGGACCACCCTCATCCATGTGGTCTGCCACAGATGGAAACATTATGCCATGTGTGACATTTTGCCTGGAAGAACTGTGAAACACAAACTCTCAGAGGAGTCATGCAAGATGAAATAAAGTAAACTTGTAGACTTTGGTAATACAGTTACATCAAACACTAAATGGGGCACAACTCCAGCCAGTTTAACAGATATCCTTACACAGAAATCCTTTGCTCTAAGTTCCTGAAGCCCAATACATGTCTTGATTTCAACAGAAAATTGCAAAGCATGCTAAAAGGCAAGCAAAAACACATTCTGATGACACAAAATTATGGCTAGAATCAGGCTCCTGTAGGACACTGCAGTTATAAACTATCGGTATCTAAAATAAGCAGAGCATATATGTTAAGGACTCTAATGGAAAGAGAGCAGAGCATGTAAGAACAGATGGGTGATACTCTCAGAGATTGAGAATCTCAAAGAGAAGAAATCAAAAGGAAATTATAGAACTCATAAAACATTGTAATGAAAATGAAAAAATTCCTCTCATGAGTTTATTGAATAGACTTGACACAATCAAGGAAGAATCATGAACTGGAAGATAGGTCAAGAGAAACTTCCCAGACCAAAACACAAAGGGGAAAAATACAAAGGAAAAGAATAGACAAGACCTGTGGGAAAATTTCAAAAGATGTATCCTATGCATTATAGGAGAATGAAAAGAAAGAAGAATAAAGCAAAGAAATGTTTAAAGTATTAATGATCAAGAACTTGTAGTAATTACTGACAGCCATCTAAAGAGTGAGACTTACTGAAAAAAAAGAAAATCTTGAAGAAATCTAGAGAAAGAAAAAAAATACCTATATGAGTGAGAATTATAGGGTATTTCTTATAAAAATTTAGGCAAGAAAACAAAGAATAGGGTAAAAATATTTAGTCATGCAAATATGTAACACTGAAAAGAAAAACAGGCAACCTAAAATTTTTCAACAACTGTGTCGAGATATGATTGACATTCAAAAAGCTGTGCATAATTACATAATTTGATAGTTTGGAGATAAGAACCCTCCTGTGAAAACATCATAGTAATCTGTACTGTAAACATATTTATCACCACCAAAAGTGTCCTCTTATCTTTTGAATACTTAGTGTTCACCTTTGGAGAACATTTTTAGACATATAATGCTACATTGTTTGCAGTAATCATAATACTATAGAGTAGATCTCTAACATTTATTCATCTTGTGTAAATAAAATTTAGTACATTTGTACCAACATCTCTTTGCTTTCCTCTTCCTCCATCCTCTTGCAACAACAATTCCATTTTATTTGGACTATTTTTATTTCTCCTATAACTGGAATCATGTAGTATTTTTTCTTCTGTGTCTGGCTGTTTACACTTAGCACAATGTCCCCCATATCCAGCAAATTTATCTTTTAAATATTAACTAGAAATAGGGGCTTTATTAGACAACCAAATACAGATGACTTTCATATTAAGAAATGTTGAAAGAACTTTTTCAAGCAGGAGGAAAATTACATAGGTCAGAAATTTGCTTGTATGCAAAGGGTGCCCCAAAAAGCAACTAACAAAGGCAAACTAAAATTCATTATTTCTCATTATTTCTGTACTTTTAATTCTTCTAGAATTGCTGATGGCTTTGCAGCTAAGTTGAGCCACTTGAAGGCCAAAAATTGCCTTTCCCAGAGTCTTACCCCGGCCCAGTGCTCTCCTCAGCATAAACAGCATTTTCCACTGCCCAGTTGCTTCTCAACACACCATCATGCATCCTTCCAGGGAGAAGCAGGAGGATTACAAATTCAAGGTCAACCAGACAACTTGTTGAGACCCTGTCTCAGAAAATGAAAAGGGCTGGGGATGTGGCTCTGTGGTAAAGCACCCCTGAGTCAATCTCTGTTATCAGAAGAAAATAACACACAGGGATTGCCTATTTACTGCCCTGGGATCATTCCTCTAGCCATTAGAACCTCTCTCTCTTTGGAGACTGGTGACCCACCAAAGAAACTTTTTTGGTCCTGGCTGGTGCAAGTAAGAGTAGTAACTGTTTTCACTATAAATAGCAGTAACTTACTCAAGTATATAGTACACCTGGATCTATCTAGTCAACCAACATAGCAGAGACATTCTTAAATCTGTCACTGTAAATTTAAATATAAATTATTTAGATACACATTTCACCAAAGGCTTTAGCTGATAGGCTGGTGACAGCCCACATGAGATGGTGCAGGCCTGGACAATGTGGTAACAATAGGAAAATGGGACCATTTTCCCTAAATGGGATGTTTCTGAAGATATTTTTTTCATATTTGCGCATCTGTTTATATGAAAAATCTTACAAGCTGGGTGTGGTGGTACATGCCTATAATTCCAACTCACTTGGAAGACTGAGGCAGAAGAATCACAAGTTTGAGGCCAACCTCTGCAACTTGGAGAAACTGTTTCAAAAATTTTTAACAATTAAAGGGCTGGGGTTGTATGCAGCTCAGAGGTAGAGCACTTTCCTCACATGCATGAAGCCCTGGATTTAATCCCCAGAATGAGGGGCTGTGGGCTTACAGAGATATACAATTAAACAACTTCTAATTATAAATAAAAATAAATGGATATTACTTATTCAATTAATATGTCAGAAGTGATGGTAAATTCTTTACATATGCTGATCTTTGTCTTTTTATAACCTCAGCTTTGTCTGTCAATGGACCTTTCTCATATTTAAATCCAGTTTCTCATACCGTTAATAAACTACAAAATACCCACTGAATGAGAAGAGGGCCAAAGTATTGGATTACTTTTTTTGAAAGTCAACAATCAAATCCTTTGAGATTTCTTTCCCCCATGGCATTTCCACAGAGAAGTTTCTGGATCATGGAGAATAATAAGAAGAGAACTAGATGTGTTTTGTCCTCCATCTAGTTGGCTCTTCATGGAGATCATAACAGAATTCCCTTGCAAATGCCTTTTTTACCTGGCCTTTATCTGCCCAGGTTTTATTGAATTTCAAGAAGTCTCTGGCTTCACTTTCTTGCCAGACAAGGTGTGGCTGCTCTGAATATGGACATCTCTTTCGGCCAAATTGCATGTCTCTACCATATTTTCTTCTCATTCATTATCATTTATTCTTATTTTTTAATTTTTTGGTACCAGGGACTTAACCACTGAGCCACATCCCAAGCCCTATTTTGTATTTTATCTAGATACAAGGTCTCACTAAGTCGCTTTAAACCTCGCTTTTGCTGAGACTGCCTTTGAACTTGCCTTCCTCCTGATTCAGCCCCCATAGCTACTGGAATTACAGATCTGTGCCTACATGCCCAAATCATTCACTATCATTTAAAAGTGTGTGCACATATTAATTGATTCAGTCCCTCTGTCTGTTTAATTTCTCTCCTCCTGAATTTTCCATTAAGAAAGTATCCTGATATAAAGCAGGGGAGCTTCTGCACTTTTATGGCAATGTGGGGAAGGGAAGAGGATGAATCCCCAATCTTCTTCTGGGATTTAGTTAATGTCTCTTGGTTTATAGGTTATGTGCCTTGTAGTCCTATTCCCATAATGTTCTGATAGACAATGATAATTTTAGCTGTAGCTAGGTAGACTTATGGATTCTTCTTCTTCCAAGATAGTTCTCCTTGAGGATCTCCCTACATGTTTTGGCCCAATCTTTTAGATCACTAGTCCCAGATGTAATTGACTCACCAATCTCTCTATCCATCTTGCTGCTCACTTAACCACTCTGTACATATGCTGCAGGGTCAGATTCCCAGCCTTTGCAGATCCCATGGCAGACCATAGGCTGCATCTCAAGAGAGAGATCCCAGACCCAGTGGACATGTACCAATATTCTGGTTTCTTCCCTTCTTCTGACTATACCCCAGCTTTGCAAAAGGTAGCTAAAATGAAGTTTCCTCCAGGGTCTTAGATGTCAAGATACGCTTATTCACTGTCAGTATTACTATTACTTCCTAAAGTATCCCATTCTCTCTAAATACAAATGATGACAATGTAGATACTTGTAAGTATCAAGAGAAGAGGTACCTATGTGACTGATAACAAAAGGCTCAGTTCCTAATTCTCATAAGTTAATATAAAAGAACTTATGCAGAATCTCTGTAATTGCCTATTGTAGAATCTAAAAGATCATACATAGGGTTTAATCAGGAGTTAAATCCTCAAGCAAGAATTAATAACAACTTAAGAATGGGTGGATCTTATTTATTTTTTCGAAGAACCAACTTTTAGTTTTGTTAATTTTTTCAATAGTTTCTTTTGTTTCAATTTCATTGATTTCCACTCTGATTTTAATT